CCCCCCCCCCCCCGTTCAGAAGAAGATAGCTTCTCCTATGATGCTTAAGCTGAAGAATCATTTCTGAAGTACTATAGACGCCTTCACAACGACTGTAACCATTCATGGATAAACCACAGACCTATAAAATCAGCAGGGTTTTCACAAGACCCTGTATGATAAATCCCAAACCCCCAAGCCTCAACCCTAACCCTAAACCCTACCAGAAAAATCAGCAACCGCAAGCCTTCTCATTCCTGGAATGGAGCATGCATACGCAGGATTCAATTGCAACCCCCCTTTGGGGATACCCTCACAGTCCCCAATCTGGACAGAGCTTCTGAGCAGGAGGAGTTGTCCTTGAACAAAGGCAGCGGAGGCGGTGTTAAAAGAAATGGGAATTCTGTTAATCACCTCCCACTAATAATAGGCCCCCATCCCCCTCACAACAAATCTTCCCCCTAATTTATGGTGGTACTGTATTGGGGGGAGTTATTATCAGGGGAAGGGATTAAGCAGCAACTGTGCCAGACCAAGCTGTACATGACCTTTCATAAGTTGAAGGGTTGCCTTGGTGTGGTTGTGCTCTGTACACATGCAAACATCACATGGGTTTCACACCCTGCGGCCACTCCTATGCGAACCCATTCAAGGCGCCATGGACCTTCATCTTTACCTACGATCCACAGAGGCGCGCGCACCAAGCTTTCACACGATCTGAGACGCTTCCCGGGCTCGACTTCTGCGACTTCCCCGAGATCCCAGCATTAAACCTTGGCCATGTGCAGCCCGGGCTTTGGTGGTTGAACCAAGTAGGATTAAATGCCTCGCATACCATAACCGAAAGGTTGTAATCTTACTCTACACTGGCTGCAGAGGCCCCCCAAATACAACACTACTCACTACTCGTCTTTGGATTCAAAGTTTAGCGTCAGGGTTCCGGGTTTAGGGTATAAGGTTCAAGGTCACGGACTACCAGTAGGGTTAGGGCGTAGGTGCTTTTGGCATCATACAAAGTTCGGGGCTTAGGGTTGCAGTTGAACCTAAAAACTTCCTAGGCCCATAATGGACGAATATGAGCTGGCACCCGCCAATGCTTCAACCTGCGACGACATGTGCACTGAAAGCACGGCCTTGCGGACACACCCCAGAGAAAAACGCCCTTCGAAACCAACCAAGACAAGCCTGTGGAACAGAGGTACAGGTACAGGATGCGAATTATCGAAGACGAACCTGTTAAGCAGCAATCCCATCAACGGTGAGCCAGGCTATGCGCGAACTATCACAAACTTGTAACTCACCAGCAGCCTCAGGCACGAAGCTGCACACCCACGATCCCATGACTCCGGGCTCAAGGGCCCAGGAAAGCCCACAAGCAAAAGGGCTTGTAAACCTTTGAAACCTCGAAACCTGGGCACGGTCTGCTGTAGAAGGCAGATTTACCAAAATGGCTGGAAATCCTGACCAACCCTAAACCCTAAACCCTACATCCTCTAACTCGGGAGACATGGCTTCAGGTGGTCAGAGGCTTCACTACGCAATGAAATGGTAGTTTCACTAAATTAGGGGACCCCAATATACACCCCAAAATACTATAGTCCTCATTATTGGGACCCCAAAATGGTAGCCCTAACCCCCAAATTGGCCAAGATGCATACCACGAGGGCAGGGAATGAATGCGCTGAAGCGCTTTTCGACGGCCGCACACTGGACATCATTCAAGTGCGCCACGAAGTCGTCGATGCAAATCTTGCCATCCTGCCCCAGGGAGATGCCCCTACTTGGTTCAGGAAGCCTCTCTATGAGGATGGGTTCCCTTTTTTGAGGGTACCTATAAGGAGGACGAAAATATGTTGGGGAATATGAAGGCGCCCCCATTTATGGAAACTCCCATGACCCCTTCCAATTTCTCTGCACATGCGATTGCGCCCTTCATCACTCCCAACCGCCCTGGTTCCAGATAATCATGCAGGATGGTCTCCTCAAAACTCCCCAACTGCACTCCGGCTGGCAGGCTCAAGTCCTCATGTAGTGAAGACAAGCTATTCCGCAGGAAATGCTTTCAGTCCTCCTTCAGTGGATAGATTTACTGGTGTTTGGGGACCCCGAGATGGATCCACATAATCGTTCCTGTATAATTCTCATGACCGTGATTACACAAGCGAATTGGCTTCAAAAGCGGTAAGATATGCTTGTTGACTTTCCCCCCCCCCAAAAAAACGTAACAAAAACAGATTTAGCCTCCTCGAACTTACATGGAACGCGTGGAACCCCAAAGAGCGTTAGCAAGGCTACTCTCCTTATAAGGGTGCCTTTTGAGAGTGTTTTGGGGATTCTTTTGGGATATTGGAATTACTTCTTAAACCTTAAACCCTCACCCTAAAAACCCTAAACCTTAAACCCTAAGCCCTAAACCCTAAACCCTAAACCCTCAACCCTATTGACTGATGTCAAGGCCTGGTCGTGGTCAATTTCTTTGAAAATTTGGTCCACGTCAAAGTCCTCTCCCAGAACCTTAGGGTTTAGGGTTTAGGGTTTAGGGTTTAGGGTTTAGGGTTTAGGGTTTAGGGTTTAGGGTTTAGGGTTCGGGAGTTGTTTAGGTTTGGGATCTAGGGTCTAGGGCTTTCTGGAACAACAAGTCCATCATTTTCCCCGTACCGTTTGACCTGCCTTCATCAACAATGGACACAAAACCCCATACTTTCCAACACGAAGCCCCAGAACTCTCAACCTCAAACCTCGAGCTTCCAAATCTCTGAGTCATGTGTTCCCCACCCCCAGCAGAAGTTCTACTTTGCATTTACATATGTTTATCTATATGTGTGTGTGCGTTCCAAAACCGAATAGACCCCAGCATGTTATAATCCTTATTCTAATGAGTCAGTCCCTAAAGGGAGGTCCCCTAATTCTGGAGTCTTCATGTGGGCTGCCTTTTTGATGGTTGAACCCAGATTATATTCTGTATATAAAAACTCTATATTGGGGGAAACATCGTATCCCCAAATAGAATACTACTCACATGTGTAAGTACCCCAACTACAATGACCCTTATCTCTTCCCGTCACTCTTAGTGCATGGATCAGCTAAGCTACAACCCAAACCGTCACTCGGACACGGTACCAACTGAAGAACCCGCAGCCCTGAACCGCATTAAACTCAAAACCCAAAAACCTGCCCTCCTAGCAAAAATCTGAATCCTATACTCTAAACCCTAAATCCGACCCACCGAATGAGACTCTGATAAGAATCTGAATCCTACACTCTCAACCCCAAATCCTACCCACCGAATGAAACTCTGATAAGAATCTGAATCCTACACTCTCAACCCCAAACCCTACCCACCGAATGAAACTCTGATAAGAATCTGAATCCTACACTCTCAACCCTAAACCCTAAACCCAAAACCCAAACCCTGAATCCTAAGCCTTGAAGCCTATACCGCCAGGTGGCTTCCCGGAGCTTGCAGGGGCTCAGGTATCCGCTGCCATCTCCTCGTGCAGCAAAGGGTTTAGGGTTTCGGGTCTAGGGGTATATAAGGATGCATATATACACATGTGTGTATATGTATATATATATATACATAAGGGTTTAGGGTTCAGGCTTAGTAGGGAATCGGGGAAAATAAAATGTCGGGATTATATAGGGATTAGATTCCTTTGTTCCTTAACCAGCGGAAGTTTAGGGTTTGGGGACTTAGCATTTGGCATTCATGCCTTGCGTTTGGGGGCTAAGGTTTGAAGATTGGAGACTCAAGGCTTGGCGTTCATGGTGTAAGATTGAGGATTCAGAACTGCTGGGTCTGAGATTTAGAGCCAAGAAGATTTTCGAACTTCATACGAGCCATTGTCTAAACTCCTAGTATCCCCCTTAATATCCCCTATAGTAATCCCCTACATAATCCCCTATATAAACCCCTTTAAGGAGTTTTGACTATGGCTCATACCAACAGGCATCACCGTTTAGGGTCTAGGGTCCCGGCTCGAACCCGAAAATCTAGGGACTTTAGGAACAATCAGCGCCTCCCGATCTGGAAGCCTGGCCTTATCCTGCAGGGTCTAGGGTTTTGGGTTTTGGGTTTAGGGTTTAGGGTTTCGGGTCAAGGGTTAAAGGTTTAGGGTTTAGGGTCAAGGGTTAAAGATTTAGGGTTTAGGGTCAAGGGTTAAAGATTTTGGGTTTAGGGTTGAAGGTAGGGTTTAGGGCACTCACCTGAAATCCCTACATGCTCTCCGCATCTGGAAGTTTCCCAGCACCACCTGCAAGTGATCCTCTCCAGGGACTCAATAAGCATGCAGATCATAAACCCTACCTCTCAGAAGAACCCCCACCAACCAATACTAGACTTTAAAAGCAATACATACAGAACCCCAAAATCTATATCAGTTGGGGTCAATATTGCTGGCTGGGCGAGGGGGGCACTTCGCTCACGACGGTAAGCCCCAAACCCAAACCCTAACCCTGTTTTGAAATCTCATGAAATGACCGCTTAGGCACGGTCAAAACGCCGGAAGGCCGATTCCGCTGCTACCTTGGCATGCTCATAAAGGTCTTTTTAAAAGGGGTTGGAGGGATATACAGGACCCCATTCTAGACCCCAATATACTATAGTCCTTATTATAGGGACCCCCAAAAAGGTACCCTTAATTATGGGAAACCCCCATATAGGGTTTTGCGTTTAGGCTTGAAGGTTCATTGGCCTTGACAACCGCCTCTAACGGAGTTCTACCAGCATTTATGTCTAGAACAAGCTACTTGCGGCCAGAAAGGCTACAAACAGCTACCATGTGCCCGGAAGATTCAAAAATGGGGGGTTGGAGCTTAAAAGCAAAAAGTGGCTCCTTGCACATCACCGGTGCCTCCGAAAGCCAACCCATGCTTAGTCGGATCGCGTGTATGGATCCCAAGGACAAACCCAATCATTACAGCAGGGTGCCGGGGACTGCCTAAGGCCTCAACCCTAGAAACCCCCAAAAAACCTAAGCACCAAGCCTTCAAATACCTTAAACCCTAAAACCTCAACCCTAAACCCCAAGCCCCCAAACCCCAAACCCAAAGCTCCAAACCCTAAACCCTAAACCTCAAGCTCTACACCCAAAACCCTAAACCCTAAACCCTAAACCAAACTTGACAAACCCGCACCTTTGTGGCCTCGAGCTTGGTAGACGCCTGGGTTCTTCAGGGGTTATATAGGGCATATATGGGGCTTATATAAGGGTTATATAGGGATAGTAAAGGGATTGTATAGGGGTTATATAGGGGCTATGTGTAGGATATATAGGGATAATGGAAAAGAAAATGGAAATTACTATAGGGGTTGGGATGGAGTTATGGGCTCCGAGTTTGAAGGTTCAGGGTTTAGGGTTTAGAGTTTAGTGTCAACAGTTTTGGGTTTGGGGTTTTGGGGTCCAACATTAGATTCATGAATTACCCTACTACACCAAAGGTTCCCTCTTAATTAACCTCATTTGAAAACATACTGGGCGAGTTATTGGCTTAAAAGGCAGCTTAAGGTGTAGTTTGGGGCGGGGGTAGCCCTAAATCCTACGGCCTAAACCGTATAACAATCATACGCAGGAAGTGTCGGGCAGAAGGTTCAAAGTTGAAGCGGTTTAGGGTTTAGGGTTGTACTATCATTATACCAGGAATCAGGAATCTAGAGCCCTTGGTGATTCTTCAGGCCCCTATAGTAGGGTGGTAGACCTCAATGATTCCTCTTGGGAATTAAATGCTCAATCGCAACAGCTGATAGATCCCAACAGCTGATGGAGTTAATACGGTTTTGGATCTTGGGTTCTTCTGAATTCTGTCCTGGCCCCCACCCAAGTGGCCCCAAAGAAGGAAACAGCTTTTGTGACACGAACTCTTAGACAATGCACCTCCAAATCCCTAGCCCCTAAACCCTAAACCGCTCCTAGAAGTCCCAGACAGATCATACATCCTGAGGGTGGACCTGCAGTCTTGCTCCATGCTTCATGTCCTATTGGGAAGGGCTGCCTCCCTAAGACCATGCACCCCGAGAAACCCCAAAATAGTAGATTGTAGTATATTATAGTTTATTATAGTACATTATAATATACAATAGTATATTATTGTATATTAGAGTATATTATAGGGCTGATGGACAAGAAAATGGAAACTACTACATCATGATAGTGTATATATAGGATTATGTGAGCCATAGTCTTAGTCCCCTATACAATCCCCTATATAACCCCCCTTTAAGGAATTTAAATTATCGCTCAAATGAAGGTTTATGCTTTTGGACTCCCATGTGCTGCTGCACATAGAAAGCCAATGTGCATCGCGCGTTTGCATAATCGCCAGCTTTGACGATCTTTGCGGTAGCTTAGGGTTTACCTCCTCGTGAATGCCTCAATTGGTTTGTTGGTTACTAACCCTAGGAGGACCTTTCTTAGAGCTTTTTCGGAGCTATACCCTGGATATCTCAAGCACAATTGTAACACTAGGTATCACCCAAGTATTTGGAGTCTGAAATGACTTAAAGATTGGCGTTCCAATACAACCGCTCCAACTTCTGCAAGCGAAAACAGTCTAAGATTGAAGGCTTTGAGTCTAGACGATGTTGCCAACCACCCCAAAGTGACAGCTATGTGTGTCAAGAACCCTAATGGATGTCTGTGACATGTTCGTTCAGAGTTATTCGTAGTTACTTGCATCAGTGGGTCATATCGTCCGTTCGTTTTATTCGTACTTACATCAGCGGGTCATATTCATACGGGTTGTTCTCAAAAATACGTTCCTTTTGGTTGTAGATGATTATATTCTGGCACGAATCTTTAGGGGTACCAAAAGGGGACCCTAAAACTACCCTATGAAACAACTGAGAATGGTCCAAGAGCAGTCCAGCTGCAATCATGGCAGCCAGGAAGCTGCTGTAACTGATATCATCACCTGAAGGCAATGCACTAGGTTCCCCAGTAACCCAGTAATAATAAGGGTTCCCTTTCTCCTACTGTTCAGCAGCTTAAGTAAGGAGACCCCAAATAAAAGGGCAAAAGGGTACTACAGGGGTATCTGGGCAAAGTTGCTGTAGATGGTTCAGCTCACTGGTAGATGCAGCTGGCTAGCAGGGAGGAGCAGGGGTGTATGGACGACTTTAAAGGATTACATAGGAACTGCTTCACAGATCCATTCCCCCATGCCCTGCTAACCACCCTAAACCCTAAACCCAAGATTCATGGATGTTCAAAACTAAATGGCTGGGTTTGCGAGAACAGCACGGCCAGCAACTGAATCAGACAAGCCTACGAAAGATGACCTGAGAATATAGGAAATATATGGGGTTTATATAGGGGTATATAGGGAATAATGGAAAAGAAAGTGGAAACTACTATAGTCTGGTTTAGGGTTTAGGGTCCTTTGGCCTTCGGGTAGCTGGGAGTGAAGGACTGGAAACAAAGTGGAGCCTACTATACTGGGATATATATATTCCTTCATTCCGAGCTAAACAAAAGCCAGCTATAGAAAGAAGCAACGACTCCATGACATGCCATTAATCCTACTCTGCTAAAGCGTGAATTGACTTAGGCTTCACACTCTACAACCTGAACAGGTCCTGGGTTTAGGGCAGCAACGGATGGACTCTGAAAAAGAACCTCTGTTTTCAGGCATCTTCGAGGCATGACCATCCGAAACTCTATTGATACTACTATAGGGATGACATCGCGTCGCCAAGATACTATAGGGATCATAATCATCATCATCATCATCATCATCATCTACATCTACATTTACATCTACATCTACTACTGCTAATACGACTACTACTACTACTACTACTACTACGACGACGACGACTACTACTACTACTCCTCTACTAATACTACCACTACTACTACTACTACTACGACGACGACGACGACGACGACGACTACTACCACCACCACCACCACCACCACCACCCTAAACCCCAAACCCTGCACCCTACACCCATTACACTAGCTTCCATTTTCTTTTCCATTATCCCTACATAACCCCTATATAACTCCAATGTTACTAGTTGTAAGGCTTGGCCGGCCTGTCCGGCTGCACAGAATGTCCAGGGCCCGCATCGCTTCCTGGTATTTCTCTGAGCCTTCCTGGACCTGTGCGGCCAGAAACTCCTCAGATGAGTAGTTTTGGCTAGGGCTTCTTAGGGTCCCTTGGTGGCTAAACCGAGTAAGATTCTATTCTGCTTGAAAGTTGTTGAACCAGAAGCAGGCTGTGATAAGCCACAAGCTCTGATCTTACTCTAGATTAGGGACTGGCTATAGCACCCATTCAAAACACTACTGACAGGCACACGGCACTGATGAACATTAGACTTGACAAGAAAGCTATGCTGAAACCTTTGGCCATAAAATCACGAACCCTACATCTTACAGTAGGTCCTTGACCACAAGCCCGAAGCCCTTTAAACCCAAAGACGAACAAATCCAACCCCTCAGCCCTTGACCCAAATCCAAAACCCTAGGGCCTAAGAACACAAACCTGAAGCCCCAAAACCTATAAGTCCAGGACCTTCACCATTGACGCCAAGCCCACACTATACTATTAATGCATTCTTAATGCATTAGTGTTTTATTAAATGACTATGTATGTACTATTATTAGTATTAGTATTAGCAGTAGAATAAGTATTAGTACTAGTGCTATTATTGTTTTTATTGTAACCTTATATTATGAGTACTATATTTTTAATATATTATTCTACTATTATTATAACCTGTGGTCAGGCTTCGCGCAGCAATTGTTGCTTGATCACGCCCTGGCTGCTGAGATGGATGAAGTCTCCGCGCAACTTTTGACGCTCCTACCATGACACGCTGGAAGATCCAGGGGTCTTATAATAGAATATGCAGGGGTCATCTACTCCAGTTCTAAACCCCCTAGGTTCCCGAACAAGGGTCTGAGTCGGGCCTACGTAAAGTCATATTCAACTGGGTTACAAGCCTAAACCGATGCACCTCCAAGTACACTCTGAAGTTGTCCATGACACGCGGTTTAGGGTTAGGGTCTTTTGACTCGGGGTATCTTTGCTCCATGACAGCTTATCGCCTGGGATGCATTCGTCCTGTCACCCGCTCAGCGCTTGGGTGGCTAACGGTCAGCGTAGCGGTCAGCGTAGCAGGCTTAATTGGGTGTAGGGCTTCGGGTTTAGGGTTTTAGCTTAGGGCTACGGGCACAGGGTTTAGGGCTTAGGCGGCGATCCCGCGTTTGCACATCTACTGGAGGCCTCGGAGTGGAGCACTCGGAGTGCACTTGGCGGTTCGATGTGTTTGCAACCCAATCGTAATTTGTATTCATAATCCAAGAAAACCCATCCCTTTCAGTGTGCACACATCCTACCTGTAATCAGGACAATAGTATTTGGCGTATATGAAGGGGCCCCCACCAAACACAACCCTAAGCCCTAAAACCTCAACCCTAATTACTAAATTCTAAGCCCTAAGCCCTAAACCCAAAGCCCCTAAGAAGCAATCTATAACCCCTATAATCCCTGTAATTTCCATTTTATTTTCCATTATCCCAATATAACCCCATATACAAAAGCCCAAAATAACCCTAATATAAAGTAGTAGTTTCCATTTTCTTTTCCATTAGCCCCATATAACCCTAAACCCTAAACCCAATAGTCTCCAGAAACAGAATGCTCAACCCGGAGAATACAAAATCCTAATTCCTAAATCCTAAACCCTACATCCTTAGCCCTAATCCTTTGGGAATCAAAATGTCCAACCCAGAGAATAAAAATCCCGGTGTGCTCCTCCAGTGTAAGGCTCCAGGCCATCGCCTGCAAGCAGGCCCTGCCACCACACTTCACGGAAGTAATAAGGGTATAGGGTTTAGGGGTTTAGGGTTTAGGGTTGAGGGGTTTAGGGTTTAGGGTTTAAGGATTAGAGATTAAGGATGAGGGATTAGGGTTGCTTTAGGGTTATATGGGAATTATGATTGGGTTTGGAACGGTTTGGATTACTCGGGGGTTCAGGGTTAAAGGGTTTAGATTGTTTTTGGGTTCGTGGTTGAGGGTTTAGGTTACTTTGAGGTTCGGGACTTTTAAGGGTTTGGGTTACTTTTGCGTTCGGGGTGACGAGCTTAGTTTACTTTAGGGTTTAGGGTTTAGGGTTCAAGGTTTGGGGGTTGGGGGTTGGGGGTTGGGGTTTAGAGTTTGAAGTTAAAGGTTTCGGGTTTAGAGTTCTCAGGCTTCAGGTCTAGGGTTTAGGGTCACCTCAAAAGCAGTAGGCCAGTTTGGCGCCCAAGCCCCCTATACAAACATTCAATATTCGCCATAACAGACTGGAGGACATGTTTACTATTTGGGGTGGGGGCGTGTTTACGATCGGCATGAAGGGATTACCTGGATATCCAAGCCAGAGGATTTCCACAAGTGGCAACCATGCACTTTCGAGTTTGGGATTTAGGGCCTTAATGTTCAGAGCGCATGGAATACTGCTCTGGAAGAAGGCAGTAGGAAAATGGCCTGTAAATGCTGGTGGCCTGGATGTGGGAGTTTCTCAAAATAGTATTAGGGTGTAGGTTTACCCGAAGGACGTAGGAGAAAAAGCAGACTACATGAACAACCACTATTCAGTTGCAGCCCTCTTCATCTGCAGCCCCCCCAAAAGCCTGGCAAAAATAGTGGTGACGCAATGTATCTCCTGTGGCCTTCGATGTTGACAATCACCGCAAACTGCAGAAGGCTCTCTAGAAGCATGGAACTTGTCCTTCAATGCGGCAATGGATCCCCCTTGTCAGCCCCTGATCAGTTTCCCCATAATCCAAGTCCTACTAGGCACCAGGGAGTAGCCGAGGAACTCGAAACATCCCTCGACAGCCGCACAAGGTTCCACAATGTCCCATTCAAGTATGCCCACATTAGTGCTGCAAAACTGGAGGCAACTTAAACATGGACCCATGTTTCCAAACAGTTTAGCCTAGATGTAGGGACCCGTAGTGCTATGCGAATTTTGGAGACCTGCCCACTTAGACGGCCTACATATCACGGCTTTGGAAGCGTCAAACATGTCTCAACAGCTACTTGCCGATGATAAGCCTCAAGTTTTGATGGTTTCAGGCTTGGGTTTTGTGCAGGATGGCCTCTGGAACTGTGTAGCCTGAGCAAACGTTAGGAAGCAGGTCACGACGCTTCCATGTACATTCGGAGTAGCCACCAATGATGAAATCCATGGATGCTGAAGTGCTTCCTTGGCCAGTCAGGAAGCCCCAAACCCTAAACCCTAAACCCTAAAGGGGTCTGAACCACATCAAAAATAGATCCTGGCCTTCCTCACTTCAAGAAGTTTCCGCCAGAAAATTGCTTTTTCAACACTGACCCAGCTTCTACAGCATCCATGCCTGGGTTGCTGTTAAGGAACATAAAGTAAGTCACCATAAATAGCAAATGATATGGTCTCCTTGATATAGTATCACGGAAATTGAATTAAGTTACTATATCAAGGAGACCCAATTATTTACTGTCTATGGTAACTTAATCTAACAGCAACCCAGATGCGCTTCTTTGGGTCAACGACAAGCAGATGTTCAATGAACTTCCTGGCGTTGATTGAGATGCTGTACCACTGTCTCCTGTGCAACTTGTACTTGCCAGCCTTTATCTTGCACGCAGTCTCATAATCTGTCCGACCATTGAAAGGCATCTCCCCACTCAGCAGGATGAACACAATAACGCCAAGGCTCCACATGTCACAGCTGCCTTTTGCATAGCGATGTCTTAGGACCTCTGGGGCAACATAGGAAAGTGTGCCCATGGCTTCCTTCATCTTCTGACTCACGCGGAAGAACTTGCTGAATCCAAAGTCGATGAGCTTCAGGAAATCGCTACCCTGCGCATCATACAGGAAGTTCTCCAGCTTCAGATCGCGATGGACCACGCCCCGGCTGTGAATATAGCTGACAGACTGACTTAGATGTCTGAGGTTTGGGGGTGAAAGTCCAGGACTTTCGGATTTAGAGCTTGGAGATTTGAAGCCTAGGAACTAGGGCTTAGGATCTAAGATGTTAGGATTTCTGGCTTCTGGCCTAGGATTCAGGGCAAAAAACTCAAAGAAATACGCCTATTAATGTTGCCAGGACGAATACTATATCCAAGTCTGAAGCTAATTACTATTACATCTATTACTGTATTACTACCACTGCTTTGGCCACTCCTCCTACTATGACTATCACTATGACTATTACTCTAGTATTGTTAATATCATCACTATGAGTTTCGTATTACGTACTATTACTGCTACTGTTGCTATTCCTGCTACGGTTGCTGTAAGCGTTGCTGCTACTACCACTACTATTGGTACCGGTACGAAGGCTGTTATTGTTACCGTTACCTACTCGGACTATTACTATTACAATGACTATGAACAAAACTATTACTGCTACTATTACTACTATTATTACGAGTACTGCTGTCATTACCCTTACACGCAGTAACGCTAGCAAACACTATTGGAGGCCTGAACAACCACTGATATTGCACCCTCACACTCCTTGTGCAAGCATCTTACGACCTCCTTCCGTTATCCAGGGTCACGGCCTCCAACCCACTGCTGATGAAGAAGTCCTCCCGAAAATCTACCTCCATGTTCGAGGAGTCACCGTTGCTTTTGGCTGTACTGCTTCCAACTGAAAATCTAGACACAATGAACTTCAAACTCTGAGCCCTATAAACTCTAAGCCCGTATCGCGTCACAGCGGCAGCATGTGCCAGGTCGCTTGAGCGGCATCGTGCTCGCTGAAGCGATCCTCGGCTGTCCGCAAACACCCTACTTAGACTTAAAAAGTTATTTCCATTTTCTTTTCCATTATCCCAATATCATCCTTTAAGAAAACCTTATAAAATCCCTACAGAATCCCATGTATAATCCCAAAAGAATCCCTTATATAATTCCTTCTTAACACCTATATAATCCCCGTATGTACTCTCAGGGCAAGGGTTCAAGGTTAAAGCAGGAAGCCGGGGCTTAGGGCCTTACGGTTTAGAGTTTAGGGTTTAGGGTTTAGGGTTTAGGGTTATGGTTCATATTAGGGTCCGCCGACCTTGGGGGGCGTGTTGGATGGTTGCCGAAGGCGGAGAGGGTGAAAACCCTCTTCCTTTCTCCCTTACAGCCCCAAAACGCGGGATGGGGGTGGGGGGGAGGGGGGGGG